ATATGCACAGCATTATTCTGAAGTTTGGAGAAATAATTTTACACTTTTCACATTTTCAACTCATTAAAAAAAGTCATAAAAACAGTCTCTAAAAACCCATTCACTATAAGAGACAAGTCAAAAATAGTCCATAAAAATCCAACACTACATAATCACCCTAATTAATCTGTTTTGTTTTTCTGTTTTAAATAACCTATGTTCACTAGTAAAATTCTTTCCATTTGTTTTCGAGCTAGATTTTGTAACACTTGTATTCTTTCACTTTCCATACATTTAGTAGTTGCAAGATTTCAAAAATATAAACTTTAATCAAAATTCAAATATTGCTCAATATGCACATTTCACTAAGAATTATTTTGTTTTTAGTTGAATATTATTAAGTATGAAAGTGATTCTCATAAATGGTATAGTGGATAAAAAAAGTTCTGGTATCATCACAGTTATTTATTAGAAGGTATACAACTACACTACTTATCTTAAACTAATATTGGTGATAAGATACAAAATATAGCAATAATTCACTTTCAGTACTGAAGCTAAGTAAGTGTATGATACTGGTCATTCAAGGTGATAAAAACCTGCAGGGGGTAAAAGGTTACATTAATTTTTCAGTTTACCTTCATCAAGAATACTACCAGTTAGTCTAAAAACATATTAGAGCTTAGTGATAAATTTTACCAGAGCAAGAAAAAAAAGGTACATAGTCTGGGTGGGGAGTTGTTTGCTTCAAGCCTGAGCCCCAGAACCTCAGATCATAAGAGTATTTCTTAAATCAAACTATTTGTGAACCCACTAGGCAGAATAATTAGTCTGGTGTTTTGTGTATGCAAGTGTTTCCAGTTTGGAGGTGCCGTGCTGTATGGTAAGTTGCGTTATGTATTGGTAGCTTAATATTCCAGATTGTTTGTGATAGTCTACCCAGATTATCTTGTTTGGGATGAGGGGAGGGGGGATTACATAATAGACAAAACAGAGTTTGAGCCTTCATAGCTTAGTTGGTAAAGCAGTCTCAAAATGCTGGTGAAAGCCAAGGGTCCTAGGTTAACCCCCCCCCAAAAAAGTTATACTGTACTGAATTTCCCCCCCTTTAGGTTCTCTAGTGATCTTAGAATAAATAAAAGCTATATTTGGCAAAGTATGATTTTGTGATGCTGGTAATTTTGTAAATTGCTAATTTCTCTTAAATCTGTTGGTCAATGTATGTTGCTTAACATCTCATTATGCTTTGATGTGGAGAAGTTGAAGCAGTTCTATTAAACACAAAAAGTTTGGGAATAACTGTTATTCATGTACCACTGCTGTACAGTTAATCCAACTTATGATTAAACCATACCAGAAATGCCTCTATACTTGCCAAATTTAAAGTCCAAAACTTTGGTGTGTTTTTTAAGCTTCCTAGATCATCAGGTCAGCACTAGTTCAAAATTCGATACATAAAATCATAATCTCAAAAGCTTTTTATATGTATATCTGACACCACTGTGATTTCGTTAGGAGGGGCTATAAAGCTAACTTGCAGTAAACAACTGCACTGGGAACGATTTTAATTTTACACTTATATATATATGTGCAGGAAAAGTTTAAACTGGCAAAAGCTTCACTGCAAGTTGAAACATAAAAAGCACGGCTGGGCCACCAGCACAGTAGTTACAAACAGTAAACATAAACCTATGGGAATAAATTTGATAGAGGTCAAGAATATTAATTTTCTTGAAACAAAATAATAAAAATCATAAACAAGTTAACATTTATCTAAAATCATGGTACAACTTCCATATGTACCTATACAGAGGTTTTCATCTTATAATTATACTTTTTGGTAAATCTATGGACCGTTAACCCTAGTACCACACTGTACCAGTACCAGTTAAATTGTTGCAAGCTTGATCTTATGAAGGGTTCTTACTCTTACTAATCTTGGTCAGGGGTATATTATCATATCAAATTATAAAACTTTCCTTATTTTACAATCATTAATACATAAATTATATTTCCCCCACCTTTTATCATAGTATTTTCTTTACCGTTTATTCTTAACGCGTTTTTTTTTTTAATATGTTAGGCCTAGGTTGTTTCTACTTTTCAGTTTCTAACTAGTTAAAATTATTTGTTTGAAACACGCAGCCCATTATTATATAATTATAAACATAAATGTCAATGAACACTGATGATAAATTATTGAGTACTGTTGTTCCGTACGACGTGAGCATAATCAATTTGGATATAAGGTAATAATGGATAAATTAACATGTTTACATAAGACTTTTTTATTTTGTGCAACGTTTTGACACACGTACTTCTTTCGGCAGTAAACAGAGTGATAACATATCTAACTTATAAGGGGTCAAAATATTGTTATATTTGTATTATTTCAAAAAAAAAGTTACCCATATCAACCGTCTGTCCACTTTATGATGATTAATATGTTGACCCAAACCAATAAGATTAAAATACAATTTTTATATTTTGCTCAAGCCTCGTCATGCCATACATGAATACTATGACAAGTTGACAACCGTAATTTCGTATAAAAAAAGCCGTTAGAAACCATAGAGTTCCATAATACAGATAAAGATGCATCAAGTTTAGTACCATCCGTCTGTGTTAGACAAAACAAATACACAAATAATAACGAAATATTTTGCTGCAAAAAACAAAAACAAACAACAACTGATAATTATTTTACAATTTTAGTATTTTATTCTTCCTTATGTTATCTTTCAAATAATATATTTTATAAAAAATAATCCAATATTTATTAAATTAATTCTAAATTCCCATTATTATTTGACAATTTATAACTCTTCTAAGTTCTATGATTGTAAAACCTGTTTTGATTTTAAAACCGCCCGTATCTGCAAATTACGTTAGCTCATTTCGAAAATAATTTGCTTTTTCGGTTTCAGATCCATTTTTTCTAGGTCCCCGGTAGGACAACGATACATTTATTGACTTACAACGCTAAAATCCGAGGTTCGTTTCCCTGCGGAGGACACAACTTGGCTCTGAAACAAACAAACCTTTTTTGAAGAGTATTGTTGCGTCATCGAGATCATGTGATTCTCACGCTCTCTACTTTCTAGAATTATCCTGTACTTTGGCGAATGTT